TATATCTTATATGATATTATATTTATTTTATGATATTCTAATGGATATTGCACAATCTTTTATAATTTTTCTATTTCTATTTATGGTATATCATATAACTTAATTGTTATTATTAGTAAAAAAATATTAATACTAAACATGACTACTCGGGAATTAGATTACCGTACTATATATTAATACCTCCATATTATTACCTCCATTATTGCACTCTCATTTTTCTGCAATATTCAACACTTTCGACCTTTAAGAAACGTTCTTTAAGAGAAGGTATTGATGAAGCCAGCTGCTGCTGCTGTAACAGGATCTTGGTCAGAGCCAATATTGTATTCTGGAAACCGCAGCAGAATGTCAATAGCTTAGCCAAAGGAGGACAGGGAGAGAAAGAGAGAGACAGAGAGCGAGCACATAATTTGCTTTGCTTGGTTTTTGCTACGTTTCGGTATTTTTATTACAATTTGCGTTAGTTAGTTTGCTGCGACAAGGATAAACAGGACGGAAGTTCCTGGCGATTCCGAATACCCACTGAAAGTGTGTGCGGACTGTGCGGTTCGACAGACCAAAGCAATGTAACATGCCAAATGTGTCCTGGAATTTAATTAAACATTTTCTGCGCTTAGTCGTGTATACAGTTACCCCAGAGATTCCCATCCGCTGTGGCTTGCTCTGCCCCATCCTTGGCGTCGTTCGCCTTCCCGAGCTGCTCCCCCGCCCACTGGCAGCCTGGGCAAACCAATGTCCCGTTAGCAATTCGTGGTTGGAGAGTCAGAGTCGAGGATGGGGCTGGGCCCGTCGAAAGGTCTGGTCCAGGCCAGGCCAAGTTTCTGCTCTGATGTGGCCATTCGGCTAGTGGGCGGGGCTGAAGGTTATTGACATATTTTAACAACTATTTGCAAAAGGCTTTAGTTTCCTTCAATTCGATTCGTTTTTTGCCTTCCTTTCTCAGTCTATCTATCTCCCTCTATCTTGCTCTCTCTCAGGCACATAATTGAAAACAAGTGCATAATGTCTTCATCCTGTTGGTCCTTGTGCGCTCTGTTTGTTTGCCGTCATGTTTAAATGTCCTCGCGGCATCAATATTTGCCATTTGCCATGTAAATACAGTTATTTAAATTACTTTACAAAGGGTCAAACAGTAAGTAATTGCAACATCTGAAGCAGCAGCAGCAACTCGAATCGGAAGCTTCGAGCTGTAGCATCTTAATTGAGATTTAACCTTTTTATCATCAGGGCGAGCATAGTTTCTGCTCAGTTTCAAATTAAATTACTCTTCTTTAGTTGCAGAATAAAACAGCTGACTGTGACACGAAAAGTATCGATAGCTGCTCGTTCGCCTTTGCTTCATATATGTATTTGCATATATACTCACGCAAGCACGTACATATGCATATATTTGTGTGTGTGTATGCTTGCGGCTGGCGAAGAAAATGGATCAGCAGACTGCCAAAACAACAGCTGCTGTGCTTATGCCCTCTCTCACACTCTCTTGCTCTCTTTGCATAAATCACTTCCTAGGCACACAAAAACACACACACACACATGCAAATGTATTTGCTGTTTTCTCTGCTTAGCACAAGCGAGTGTCAGCACCGCGAATGCCAGCACAAAGCGCACAGCGCAAACGCTTGCACAAGCAACAAACGTTGCAGAGCATCAATTTACGTTGTTTTGCTGTTGCTTTCTGTCTCTCTCTCTCTCTCTCTTTTGCACCATCTGGCATCCGGCAAGTTGCTGTTGTTGCTCTCCCCACATTTTGCATTTTGCGCATGCAAGCTTGTGCTTTTGTGTATTTAGTGCTGCGCGCGAGTTCGAGCTGTGGACAGCTTTTGCCGTTGTTGTTGGATGTGGATCAAAAATGAACTCACGCGATCGACAATTCTGGACAGAGTTTCTGGAGCTCTATCGCTCGCTGCCGGCTGTGTGGAAGGTCAAGAGTCCGGAGTACAGCAGCCGTGCTCTGAAATCAGCCGGCTACGAGCAGCTGGTGCAGAAGCTGCGCGAGGTGGAGCCGGGCGCGGATCGCGCTCTCGTGGTCAAAAAGATCAACTCATTTCGAACAAACTTTCGTCGTGATTTGCGCAAGCGCGATCACTGCAGCGACGAGGAGCCGTTCGAATCGACGCTCTGGTACTTTGAGCTTCTGAGCTTCTTGGAGGGCCAAGAGGAGCACAGCTCGTGTCAGATCTTGCAAAAATCTAGCAATTTTGATCTTGAAGCTCCGCCTGAAGTTATGGTAATTCAGTACTTATACCTCTCTCTTTCTCTCTCTCACACACACACTATTGCCATCCGCAGCGTAAAAAACGTCGCTCTGCCGTCAAAGATGAATTTCCTGCTTCACCCATTGCAGCCGAGTTGTTTTCCACTGTCCACTGTCCCACGTCTCCACTTCGCTCCTCCACCTGCAACAGGCAGCAGCGCAAGCGTTTGTCCACGCTCTCCGAATCCGAGGCACTCGCTCACACCTGGCTCACTCAGTTCGAGGAGCTGGCGCCTAGACAGAAGCTGCTCGCTCGCAAGCTCATCTCGGACGTGCTCTACTACGGCTGCATGCAGCAACTGGAGCCCTGCCACGTCGCTCAGCTGCAGCAGATGATGATGAGGCGAAGAAGCGAACCGCCCCAGGCGAATGTGGAGGACGAATCTGTGGATGTGGATAGTTAGCCAAAGAGATTGGACTGGGACTATAGCTATAAAATAGTGGGTAGCTATAAAATACTGTCTGAAATGACAAGAATTATATTCTAATTTAAAACTAAATATAGATTTATATATACACAAATATATATTTAATATGTATCTGAGTTTTAAGGGAGATTAACAATTTAGAGAGGGGAGAATAGAGAGGGGAACAGGAAAAGTGCCAAGAATGTGGATTACAACTAATAGAATAACAAATTATTTTCTGAAAACTTTTCACAGAATCAACTAAAATATTTCTTTATAGTATTTGTAATATTTCTATAAAGACCTTATAAAATCAATTTGATAATGCCTTCATCTGAAAACTTTTCACGAATACAATTGAAATCATCTATCAACTATTCATTGGCATATTTCAGTCAAGGTCTATCAAACATCTGTTGAAATGATTGAATTAATCTTTTACAATCGGAAATTGCAATCGTCTGGGCTTTCCGCTTGTCTGATAAGACATTTGATTAGACCCCAATCGGAAAACACACAGCGCAAACAAAAAGGCGAGCTACATATATTTTTAATCTCAATAAAAATTCTAAACAATTGCCCAACAATGGGGCGAAGTACAGCAGGAAATGAATAAATAAATAAATGAATGTGCTTGAAATGGAAAACAAATTAACAACGTTTATTGCCAACATTGAAAGTTGGTCAATTTGATTGGAAAACTTACCAACGAAATCCAATTGGAGTGTACGACGAGTGTGTGTGTGAGTGCGTTTGTCAACACTCCCACTCTCACCTCCAACTTCTAATTGACACTTTTGCTGAGATCTCTGCAAGGCAACAACAAAAAATGCAAATTTATTGGCATTTAATTTGCAAGTAAGACAAAGAGAGGGCGAGAGAGAGAGAGCGAGAGAGAGAGCGGAAGAGAGCACTGCCCGCATACAGTTACGCTGTGCTCGAAAATAAAAGCCAGACTCAGACCCTCATAATGTGCACAAAACTTTACAGCAGCAACAACAACAGCAGAAAGAGAGCGCGAAGAGGAGGAGGTGGCGCAACCACAACAACAAATTCGGCATATAAACGAGCGCATAATGAGCTACGTAGAGCCTTCCGCAATGGATGGATGGACGRATGAATGAATGGATGCGGACAAAACAAATTGGAAAGAAGGAGATGGGCAGACAGCACAAGACACAAGAGGGAGTGGGATTGCGACTGGGAGTGGGAGTGAGGCAGCTTGAAAATAACATTAAATGCCTAAAAATAGTAGCTGCAAACGCAGTGCTCATATATTAAACACGCCCACGCCAGCCCAGCGACTACCCCACCCACTCGCAAGAGCCATAAGTAACAGCCCGTCGATGGTGCCTGCCTTTTTTATGCTCTCCCTGCATATCATGCAATTACTTTCCACTCAAATGTCAATTTAAATTGAAGTTTTATGCAAAAACCATACTTGAAACTTTGCGCCTGCTTTGCTTTTGCCTGCCCATGCTCTCCCTCTCTCTTTCTCTCTCCGTCTCTCTATCGCTCTGTGCCTGCTTCGGCAGCTTGGAAAGCTTCGAGAACAATACGCTGCCTGGCAACTCAATCTGACACAGCTCTTCTCCTCTCCTCCTCTCACTCTCGCGCACACACTAACTCTGCCCCTTTCCCAAATTTCAATCCCGCTCGCTCTTGTTCATTTCCGTTACAGGCTTTGCTTTGCTGCCTGGCGATTGAGTCTCAGTCTCCTTCTCAGTCTCTGTCGCAGTCTCAGTCGCAGTCTCAGTCGCTGTCTCAGCTTTTAAAGGAGGGGCAGCGCCTGTTCGTGTTTGTGTTCAGCTTTTTATGTGTTAGATGCACATTTCGGAAATTAAGTTGAAATTTATTAGCACATCTTTGTCGTCGAATTACATGGATTGGTTTTTTCGCAGCTCCAAGGCAATTCCGAAATTCCACTGGCTGGACGACTACGAATTTTTAAGTCACTTTTAGCATTTGATGAAAGTTTTTGGTGCTTCAATTTAATTTCAATTTCAATTCATTTCTAGATATCATTTATTTATAATTGCTATTCATTTTTTAATGTACATATATCCCAACTAAATTTGTAGATTTTATTGAATACAGCATTACTCTAAGATATTTTGATTTATTGATATTCCATTTCTAAAAGAATAAAAGATAATACAATATATTATCTCATTATATACATTTAATTATATTACATTTACATGTTTTGTTTATTCTCAAAAATAGTTTTTCAGTTAGGTTTAATTTTTAAATGATTAAAATTTTTTAAAATTTCCATTGCTTTTATACTTATCTAACTATTTCCTGAATAAAATTGTATACAAACTGTATATATTATATTTACCATCAAAATAAAACTTCTGTGTGTTCTTCAATTTTCTTTGATTTACCATTTCCTTAAAATAATGATATGCCCTGCACTGTTGAGTGTAGCGCAACTTTAGCGATGTATAATGTATCTGAAGGACCCTCAATAAGAGGATATGCCCAATGCTATTTATTTGCACACCCATGTGTGTGCCTCTGTCGCTCTGTGTGTGTGTGTGTGTGAGCACTCGATTTTCATTTGGATGAGTATTAGTGCCTTCATATTACACAATTTCGAATCGCATCAAATCGTTAAAAGTTTCGATTACACAACGCGCTTTACAATTTCACACAGAATGCGCTGGGAGGGGGCGGGGCGATGGGGGCGACAAGGCAAAGGCGACCGAGCAACCACAACTAACAGTGGTGGTGCAGGGGGGAGGACCTACCGTCCGTCTCCCCTCTGCTTAAAACAAATATTGAAAGTGGCATTAAAAAGAGGAAGAAGAAGAAGAAGCAGACAAGCAAACTTTGCGCTGATTTTATTGCCATGAATTTGAGCTCAAAATGGCAAATCAATGTGTTTCCTTTTAGCCAGTCAATTTAATGGTTGTATTGTTTCATATATATCCGCCGAAAGGATGCTTCAATACACTCCACTTGTCTCTCTAGACAGGGAGACACCGACAAAGACAGAGTGAGGCAGAGAGAATGAGAGAGAGACGTGGATAAGCATAAAAACAAATGTTGTTTTCTTATGTGAATAGAAAGCTTATTATTTCAACTGAATTCTGATATTATAAACTGCTTACGCTCTAATCAAAACGTTTGCGAATAGAGCACAAAGCAAAGGGGCCAAAAGCGAGAATGCGAGGCCTAGTTAATGTTTTATGTACAAAATATGATTTGAATAAGTGACTTTTTTAATACTTTCTATAGCTTTTACTAGCTCTCGGCTCTATTGGCCCAGCCAGGCCATACGAGGTCCACGCAACTAGGCTCTACCCTGCCAATATCAAAACGGTATTTCCATTAACTTTTCCTCGTAATTTTTAATGCCAACGCTTTTAACGCAACACGCTGATGATATAAAACAAAACAAAAACGCAAAAGCCAAATGAAAGGAGGCAACAAACTATGCGTATAAACAATTTTTACTACTATGTATGGGGTAGCTAGCCATCCCCCTCACTCCCTATCGCCCTCTATCTACAATGTTTGATTTTTTTTGGATATACCAAATTGAAAGAAAATGGAAGGTTGCAACCGACTTCCAAATACCCGTCTAAATATATAACAAATTATTCCAAAATTGAGATTATGACACAATCCAAAGGGTGGGTTAAATGGATTATATGAAGTAGATGGATGGATTTAGTAATAGAGCATATTTACAGTCTCTACTCAAACGTACTCTACACTCAACCCAATATACTCACAATGTGCATGAGTGGAATGACGAAGTAGAGTACGCCCACTGCCACGCCCCTAGCAGTCAAAGGCACCTGCCCCACAGTCAGAGCTTTCTGCAACCATCCTCTGCTCGCACCTCCACCCTCTCCACCCTCTCCCCCGTCGCCCCCTTTCCCCACATTCAGTTGCTGTTCAGATTTCTGTTGCTTTTGCTTTTATGGGAGCGTGTAATGTGATTTATAGCCGGTTCGGTCCTTAAAATAAATTCCTTTTAATGGTTTTTTATTGCCATCAGTAGTCGGCGTCAGCGTTAATGTTAATTAAACTATTGTAGTGCTTGTTCTACCATAAATTCAACGAGAAACCAAGAGAGAGACAGATACATAGAGTCTCTGTGCGGGAGAGAGAGAGAGGGTTAGAGAGAAAGGCAATCGGGATCAGAGTTGAACAATGTTTCAATGCTCATGAATAAAATCGCCCAGTTGGCAATTTGGGCATAAAAAAGGTATGAAAAAGGATTTGAATGGCTGGATTTGAAAGGGTGATAAATGCTTGCTATTGTTCGGGAATACCATGTGCTATAGGAGGTTATCTGTGCTCTATTTATGAAGAAAAAGTATTCTGATTATTCTTAAAATTTTTCTTTTTTAATAAAAGGATTTAAATGTCAGTTGGTAAATTTGAATGCGATGTCGGAACTGAAAGCAGATAATTTTTTGGCATTCGTTCTGGGATATGGGTATTACCTAGACTATAAATTTAAGCTAAGGTTGCTCGAGTCTACTTCCAAGTAAAAATATATGTAAATATTTGGTTAGTTCTATGAAATTTTAGCATACCTTATCTATTAATTGTCTCTATAGATATGCTTAACCTATGATTCAAATTAAGTTCTTGATTTTCTTTAATTATTGAGAACTTCTCTATAGTAAGTAAGAATTTATTTGAAGATGAACTCGAAATGGAGAGCAAATAATATATATTTCTTTAAAGCCCCTTTCAGATTTCAGATATCTAAGCCCATTCACTTTAGGTGCTGGTTTAAAGCCAACTTCACACACGATCAGCCTGAGAGATTGGCCATGAGATATAATTAATACTCATGTGAGCTCTGGCCAAAGCCACATCCCTTTTCCTTTGGGGCTAGGTGCGTCACGTAGGACATGTTCTCCCGTGGGCTGGCATGGCTGATTGCCCCCGATTGTTGGCCAGCTTATTAAAGCCATATTAGTCAGGTTGTCAGGCCTGTTAGCTTGTCGGGGTCTATGATGTGTTGATACACAGCCGCATTTATGGCATTTCCCAGTTGG